ACCTAATCCTTGTGGAGACGGTCTCAGAGAAGCATCAAATGTGCATGTGCCAGACAAAGAAGTCTGTTGCTAATCTTTGTGTTGTTTGCCAGGTCTCCAGATGATGTACAATATTAGCTTAGAACACACAGCCAGTCCTACTTCAAGCTTCCTTTCTTCTGTTTCCAGTCTAAGACTTTTTAGCCCCTTAGAGACTAAGTCATCACATGGACCCTAGTATTTTGGTCCCAGAAACATCTTGTATCATATTCAGATATCCAGGACATACAATCCTTATTATATCCTTCTTACACCACCTCCCAGTTCAGCAGGTTTTTTTTTTCTTCTTTAAATTGTATATATCTCGGGTGGTGAGAGTGAAATATCTACAGCACTATTTTCATGAATGATAATATTAATAGATTTCTTCCAAGACAAATTCATTTTGCACTGATTGGTCTTTGTTACAATAACATACAACTAACTTTTCTCTTGTGCTGTCCCTTTCCATCCTCCCTACCTCCTCAAAGTGAGATTTCAAATTTACTGAGGAATGGGTGAAGGAGATTAAAAAGGATTCACCAGGACATCTGAAAAGGTCCTGGATTTTGTTTTGAGGGTGGAAAGAGAGTGATACAAGATACAAACTGTGGTCAGAGTAGGCATGGAGCTGGCCAGGAATGGCCTAAGAAATTGAGGTAGAGACCAAATTGGGTATGAGGTAGAGGAATCAATTAGGGGTACCACAATCACTCACTAGTTCAGTGGTTCACGGAGGCATTTATACAACTCAACATAAATTTATACTCATGGCTAAAATTTAATGTAGCAAAGGACACTGTGCAGGAACAGTAGGAAATAGGTGTACATAGTGAAGGCAAGAGAGGCCACATACAGGTTTCCAAATGTTTCCTCTCTTTCTGCAAGGGGCACTCTAGCCACAAACTTCAGGGACACATGAAAGATGTCTCTCTCCAGGGAAGCCTGCTTGAGTTATAGAGTCCAGAGTTCTTAAAGCAAGCTAGCTACATGGGGACACATCTGTCACATGACTGGTGTATATAGACTCCAAATCAGGAAACAGGTACACATAATAAATTCTATGTTTATCTAACATATGTTACCAACCTGGTTCATATTGAACTACTGCTTGGGCATACATAATAGCCTTATTACTGAGTAAATATGTGAACATTCCAGGGAATTATTCTTAGAGCTTGGTCAAGGGCCATCCGTCAACATGGCTACAGAGATAAGCAAAAATTGAGTGAAACAGATCTGTTGCATTAACCTTTTCTTGTAGGGATCATCTGTGCATTTTCAGGAGTATGCCATGACCTTGAACCCACTGAACATGTGTTGGAAATTCATATGTGTGAAATATGAGTAACTTTTAATGTGACCTAAACATAATTCTAATCCTAGATGGCAAAATACAAAGAACACCAGAAATAATTCAAAACTAGATGGACTGTATTATGGATCTTTAACTAATAAGAATAATATTTAAGGAAGAGAATATAGCTGGAACAATTGTAATAATTTGCTAGAGAAAGAGCAGGTGGTTAAAAAGAAGTTCACTTATTTCAGGGAATGGAACATAATAAAAAACAAACATTTTGAGCTTAAAAATTATCAAAGAATAATAGTGGTAGTTGTGAGCAATGACTAAACTGAAAGTGAAGAGGAGTAATGGAAAAGCTTAAACAAGTGTTGCAACATAATCTTTATATTTTGAAAACTATTTTCAGTTCTATCTGGAGTCATTTGAGAATGAAGGCAGGGAAGCCAACCAGCAGAATGGTTAAATGGTCTACTTAATTATTAAGGTCTAAATTGAGGCAGGAGGAGTGGAAATGTAAAAGTAGTAAATAAATATCAAGAAAGTAAAAATCTATAATATTGATAAGGGATTAGAAATTACAAGTGAGGGAAAGTGAGGCCCACATGTAGCATTAAGTTTATATTTTTGACTGAAGTGAGGAAGTGAATGGAGATGTCATCTACATAAATGGAGAACACAAAAGTGGAAGCAGGAAGAAGTTGAAGTTGAGGGTGGAGAAGGATAAGTAAGTTCTATTTTGGCCTTGTTGAGTTTAAGGTTTCCATGTAGCATAGAAAGGGAATTATCCAGGAATGATGTGTGAACCTATCTGGAATTCAGGAGGGAGGCTGATTTGAGATTGATATGGTAACGTTCATATTCAGGGGGTTAGCAAAAAGAAGTGAAGCCAGAAAATGCAATGAGTCATATTATTCAAAGAGATCAGAGAATAACCAGAATTAGAGATCAGAGAATAACCAGAATTGAGAAGTGTTAGAGGAGCCAAAAGTACAGATATTGAAAAACAAGTGAGTGGTCAACAGTGCCAAATATTGACGAAAGGTCCAGTGATGAGATGGAATTTGATATAGGTTATTTGATTTGGTTTAAAGATTCATTGGTGACCTTTTGGCCAAGCAATTTCAAAGGAATAGTAGAGGCAAAATTGGATTATAATGGAGTTGAAGGGGAAATGATTTTTACGTCAGTTAAATTATAGGCAAAATGCATACTTAAATAGTCACAATATAAAAAAAAACAATGAAATACGTTGTATTAAAGTTAGCTACTGGTTTAATGCGGTGACAGTGTTGAGGTTATGTTCAGGAAAGGCTGCAGAGAAAATTTGGCTGTTGATAATTATTATTTCTTTACTTAGGTGGTATTTACATGGATGTTCATTTTATAAAAATCTGCTAAATTACACATTAATTTCCATGCAGGTTTATATTCCACCATAATACATATATTTTTAAATTGACAAGAGGGAGAAAATTAAGACAATTAATGCATATTTTTTCAAGTAGCTTATTTATGAGCCAAAGGGGGAAAATAGATTAAGTACCTAGGGATGGCCATATGTTAGGTAAGAGTTTATTTTATGAAGAAAGAGTCTTAAATAATTTTTTAAACTGTTACAAAGCAGCTAGTGGAAAAGGAGTTATTAGATAAAATTATTTCTCAGGATTCTAAATTAAGGAAGCATAGTAAATTCATGCTTGGTAAGGCAAGAGTATTAATTTCCTATTGCTGCTATAACAAATTACCACAAACCCAATGGTATAAAACAATACAGTATTGTTGTTTTATAGTTCTGGAGATTAAACCTATAAAATGATTTTGCAGGGCTAAAATCAATGTATCTGCAGGTCAAATTCTTTCTGGACGCTATGAAAAACAATCCGTTGTCTTGCCTTTTCTAGTTTCTAGTTACTAGGTGGTATCTGCATTCCTTGGCTCATGGACTCCGTCCTCTATCTTTAAAACCATCAATATACTGTCTTCTCTCTTCTCCGACTTCCTGCCTCCCTCTTATGGGAACCTGGTTACTACATCGGACTCACGCAGAAAATTCAGGATAATCTTCCCATTTTAAAGATCCTTAAGTTAAACATATCTGCAACATTCCTTTCGCCATGTGAGGTAACATATTCATTCACAAGTAAAATGTCGAGATATTTGGTGGGCCAAAATTCAGCCATTATTCAGGAGGAAAAAAAGATATAAAAGTGAGGTTAAAAATGTGGTTGAGGGACACCTGGGTGGCCCAGTATAGGCTTAAAATCCCAGGTTACAGGAAAAGTTACTATTATTAATTGTGTAAATGTTCTTTATTATATATTATCTGTGTATCTATTTTACTATGTATTTTGCTTATTACATTACATAAGATGTCTATAACAGTTCAGGTTTTTGCTAGATTATGGATATCATTATTTACATGACACCCACACACAACCTGCTTTGGGCAATAAATTAAGTGATCTCACTCTTTGCCAGGTAGTCCCTCTAATGGTCCCACCTGGACACCAGCAGGGGCGGAAGCCCATTGAATTTTCCTCTCTTCAAGGATGCATAAAGCAGGTTTGCTTTACAATTGGGTAAATATAAGTGAGGCCAAGCCCTTCAGAGTCTTGACACGGCTGAAGAGATAAGAACCTTCTATAACACTAGTCCAAAAAACTGGGTGTTCAGGGGTTCTCAACATGTCAGCATGGGTGGCCACTTTTTCACCACAAACCCAGTATAGGCTTAAAAAGCCAGGTTACAGGAATGGTTACTATTTTTAATTTTGTAAATGTTCTCTTTATTAAGTATTATTTGTTTATCTATTCTTACTATGTATTTTGCTTATTACATTACATGTCTATAAATCATACTCCCCAAATGACTGAAATACTGAAAAATGATTATGCATACTTTAGAACCATGATAACAAGTTCTATTACATGGTACATCTGTTTAACTGTAGTCATGTTTGTATCTGAGAAGTTTCTATCAGGATTTGTATTTTTGATCGCACTATGGCCTAAATGATCTCTACCAAGGAAATTTATCTGTTTTAATACTTTTTCTACATTTCAGACATGTAAGACAACTAAGGTAAAAACCAAACATAGTAAGATGTTAAGCCCTGAGTAAAAGATGTAAACCAAGCAGAAAAGTGCAAATAGGAAGTAAATCTCTCTTTAATGTTACTAAAATAAGGAGCTAAAGTTTTGAGGATAAATACTTGAAGTGTAACACATATTTTAAACTGTCCCCTGAAAATTACAGAATAGGCCAAGATGATCTATTTCAGCCGCCTCCTTTTCAAGATAAAGAAACTTGCAGGGCCTCTCTAGGAAATGCAGGACAAAAGAATACACACTGATAGGCTCCTGCTGTTCTCCAAGGCATTTGGATGGCTTCAGCGTGGCCATCAGAATCACTCTCAACCTCTGATATGCAGGGTTTAAAAAATATATACCCAGACACTAAAAAACCAAATGAATTGAAGATCATTAATTTGTAGTCATTACAATATGAAAAATCTCATGTTATTCTCAGGGAGAACTCAAAAGCACAGGTGTAAGAGTAGAAAATATAAGATATTTAAGTTGATTCCAAAGTTAAGTTTACAATTGCAACGTATAAAAAACAAGAAAGAATGAATGCTGATGGAGCTTTTCCTGGAGTATTGGAGTATGTGTGATCCATGGTGAATATGAAAGATGATGATAAAACAATGGCTGTCGTGGAATTAGCGAAGGTGAGAGTTTGAGGGATTTGGGACTAAAGACCTCAAGCCTAAAGCCCAGATGCTGTGAAGTCAAGGAGTGAAGATGCTTGAAAGACAGAGTATGATACGACAGATTGACATACTGGAATTAAACATTGTACTTTTTCCAAATGATGATTTTTAGAGTCTGGCGAGAGAAGTGTTGGTACCTCCAATTTAGGTAGAGATTGTTGGTATTGTAAATTTCATGGTTTTATAGTGTTTTTTTCAATAGGAATATTAGATATCCACTTGTTTGTTTCTTTCCTGTTACTCCTTACTTCAACAATAATATCATCAAGAAAGCAAAGCACTATGAAGGCAAGAACTTTGTTTAATTTAATAATATATCTCCAGTTTCTCAGAAAGTCAAGGACAGAGTTGGTATTCACTAAAAAGTTATCACCACATCAAGGGTGATACATATACAGATGATAACAAGAAGTACTTCATTCACTCTGTCCATGATGAACTATCAGACTACAAACTTCTCTGACTAAAACATGTGAACCATTTGGACTAAGAAATAATGAGAACAGTCCATTATTTCAGATTTTCAATTTCCTGAAAAATTTTTATTGTTCAATGTACATTTGTTCAAATCAGAGAATAGAGATAGTTTTACAGGATAGCCAACCCAATATTCCATGTAATTCAGAAGAATCAGTCAAACAGAATCTTTGTGGGCATTTGGAGTTATCAGCAAGCTCTTTGTTTCATGAAGCATTCTTTCTCTGTAAGGATGGGGCTCATTCATGTTATAAATGTGACTTGGGATTCTGATCCTTTTTTGGTGAAGAGCTTCAGAATTTTATCTTGTATCTGTTTGGTTTTCACCACATACACAATGGGGTTCATCACAATGGGGTTCATCACAGAGGAATGAGGAAATGCATGTTAGCCATGGTCACATAGATATGTGAGGGAAGTTTTGGGTCAAAGCAGTGCAGTACTGACAGGCAGATCATGGGTGTGAAGAAGAGAATCACAGCACAGATATGGGAAATGCAGGTGTTGAGAGCCTTGAAGCGGCCACCATAGGATGCAATGCTCAGTACAGTTTTCAGTATCAGGGCATATGAAAAGAGAATGAGAAGAAAATCAAGTCCCATAGTGGATAATACCACAAACAGTCCAAAGATGCTATTGATCCTGGTGCTGGAGCAAGAGAGCTTTATAATGTCAGGATGCAGGCAGTAGGAATGAGATAGTATACTGGAATGACAGAAACACAGCCTTCTCAAGAGGGTAGGGAGAGGTACTTGTACAGTCAAGGTTCACACTACAATGGCCAAAACTATCCTAGAAATTACACTGTTGGTGAGAATGCAAGAATAGTGCAATGGATGAGAAACGGCAGTCAAAGGCCATTGCCAGTATGATAGCTGACTCAAAATCCTGGAAAGTGTGAATAAAAAACATTTGGGTGAAGCAAGCAGAGAAGGTGAGCTCTCGAGCATCCAGCCAGAAGATCCCCAGCATTGTGGGGAAAGTGAAGAGGGAGAGACCCAGATCAGAGTCAGCTAGCATGGCCAGGAAGAGGTCCATAGGCACATGGAGGGTCTGTTCCCTGCGGATAACTGTCATGATGGTCACATTGTCCACCAAGGTAATGAAGAACATGGTGCAGAAGGGTTTGGAGATTCAGATGTGCACAGTCTCCAGCCCAGGTATGCCTGTCACCAGGAAGCTGGAGAATATGGCTTTGGTGCTGTTGGTGGGGAACATGATGCCAGCACTGCATGCCTTTCCTCGAATGAAATTTATTGTCTCACACACAGATGTTAAAATTTGACTTGAGCATTTGACAACTCATAATACCTTTTATTTTAAACTGACTGACCCTGATTTGTATCTATTATGAGTTTAAATGCTGTTTCCCAATACAGAGCATCTGAGCCTCTAGATTAAAAAACAAGACCTATTTTTTTATCAAATTCTCCAGATATTGTGGCTTTTTAAAGGAAAAATGAAGGAAAAAATGTACACTTGATATTTAGTTTATCTAAGTCCTTTAATTCATATGATGATTTTTTAAAATAAAAAATCCAAAATACATAATGTACTTCAAATAAATTTCTTTTAAAAATCCAAAATCCATGCATATTCATACCTGTTATTGTAATTACAGTGGTACATCATGCCAGGCTATCTTACTGCTTTGGTCTACCTTGATCCATACTAGACTAGTGCTACTTAAACTGTAGTTCATGGACACATTTTTTCCATGGACACATTTTAATATCCAATTTTTTTCTGCAATGAAATGAGTGCAGAAATTGAAAATAAGCATTTAGAAACTTTTGCATTAATTGACATAATATATCTGTGCTTCTTTAATTTAATAATACTAATTATTATTAGTGTACAATAATAAGGTTATTATTGGATTTTGCATGTATTTTCCATTTCATTTTTCTTAAACATAATATTAGTTATATTTATGAAGATGTTTTGTGATTGATTGAAGAATTTTAAGTATACCTTCACTCTGTAAGTTATGAAGTGCTGTTTCATGTTAACTCATTGTTGAATGTAGATGTCATTTTTTTTCAATTGAACATGAAGAAAAACAAAAATAATTAGTTCTATATATTTAAAAATACTAAAATCTTAGATTGTTTAATTTTTGTTAAATCATGTTCATGGATTATCTTTTTTATTATAGGGTTAAATATTTTGAGTTTTAATTAATAAGATCTAGGAATTTTGCATAGTTACTATATATTTGTGTAAGCAAATAGTTTGTTTTTAATAACAATAACAAACAAAATGTTATAAAATGTCTATTTTATTGATTTAATTCCATAGGGCTGTGGTTATTTATTCATACAAATATTCAATAAATATTAATTATTTTTCTTGATATGCTTGGCTCTAAACTTTAAGATTATAGCAAAGATCTAAGAAAGTATAATTAGCAATTTCTTTGAAAGAGTGATGTTTGTTTAATATTCAACTATAATGTACAATATGTCAGAGATGAGACCATTTTCATGGTCTCTGTTACCAAAACTTATTTATCCAGATAAAACCAGTTGTGGATACACTGAATCTCCTTCTCATAGATAGCAAAGTACATATTTCTTTTCTGAGTCTATCCCTCATCAGATTCTGTTTTTATGAAACTAAATAGACATTGCATATATACTTTTATATTCTTCATATAGCAGTCATCTCACAAACAATAAGCTTTATAAATATTTGCATGTACTCCTTGTTCCAACCCCTTATCTACCCTTACTCACTAATGTCATCATTGGTATTGTTTGTGAGCCTTTGTAGAGATGTGCACTGCCAAATTTTCATTCCCTGCATGGAGTTTATGTGTCCTAGCTGTGGTGGCCTGAAAATTTCCCAGCTGTTCCTATTTGAATTCTCCCTTAAGTCTAATCTTTAGTCAGACTAAGAGTCTCAGAGAAAATAATAATTTTTAAGTGTTTCTATAAAGTCTGACTACCTAACATGATATTGTGGATTCGAAGCTTGAAGATCCTACCCACTTGTCCCTGCTCCCATATGGCAGGCTAGTCAATTTTTCAAAATCTCAATCCAAGTCAACTTGGATGAGACTTCTAGAAATACTAACAGGGGATTAACTAAATTTCTTTGCATTATCTTAAAAATTTTAAGAAAATTGGGATTAGCTTCAGAAGTGTTATTGCAATTTTTTACCATTTTTTGAATTTTGTTGTAAAGGATAGAGAAGGTGGGGATAACGTGGCTAGGAAACTCACTCTTTGTTGGATAAAGCTCATTCTGCTTGGTCCAATCATTGTATCTTCCAATGTTAAGGGTTTGGTGCCATGTTTATTCTCAAAGCTTTTTCTTCTGCATATATTTTTGTTTTGTTTTTTTGTTTTTTAAAGATTTTTCAGAATCTATACTCATTGGTTATCTCTGAACCTCATGGTCAGTGTAAACTCAGGCATGGATATTTCTACACTCCTCTAGTTCAGGAATACATTAAACCCACTGACTTGTTTGGCTCAATACCACTGTCCAACTGTTTAGGTCCTTGAGGGAAACAAATTAGGGATATTTTCACAGAAAGAAACACCTCTACATTCCTATAATTCCTTGTATTACAGGCTAGAGTTTCTCTACTCACTAGTTTATCCAGTCTCTTTGTTTTTAGTTCTTTTCCAAATGCAGGTAACTTCTCTTACCTGGCATCTCAAGGCAGAGTGTTTGCTAACATCCTTCAGAGGCAGCTTTCTCTTCCATGTCCGAAAGCAGGAGTCCCTGTGACCTGGTTTGAGGTTCTTTATTATTCATGCAGTTATCTCCTGAGGATGCAATCTCCTGGGAAGTCCCATTTTCTTCTTGATTTAAAGTTCATCCCTCATTGCTTTCTAGGAAAGCTTCACAAATAGCCCAAGTACTAGGTACTTTTTTTGCATCAGGTGACTTGAAAATCACTCATTAAGTCTTGGTGTCATTTCCACCTGAAGTTAATTTTTTATATGTAATATCTACATTTTGGGATTGTTCATATCTTCTACAATATATTTTGAGAATTCTCAAAAGTTAATTGCATCACAGGCATCTGTTTGAACCTACTGTTGTTCAATTTGTACTGTATGTTTCAGATGTGAAAACCTATTAGATGTATGTAGAAATTACCTTAGAATTCTGAAATGATAAACTAGATAACCTTTCCCATCATCATCCCACACTGCCCCATGCACCTTATACAAACATATATACGTAAGTGTATGTCAAGGGCCTTTTTTATCACGTAGTTTCAAATAAAAATACAGAATTTCAGCCTAGCAGAACCCACAGATTCAATGACATTCACAGGAGTGGTCAAATATCCACAAATTCAGCTAGGAAATATTGTGGGAATAGCAGTAGACCCTCCTTACAATGAGTCATGCCTGTGAACTTGGAAACACTTTTATGTGTATTTTATTGTTTACTTTTTTTCATATAAAGTCACATATTCTCACTTCAATTAGCAAATCATGTTATCTTTGAAGAAACTC